TGTTCACAGAGTTTTAAGTGTGCACAGCTTTTTAATGATAGGTACTGTAATGCAGTGTTCACAGAGTTTTAAGTGTGCACAGCTTTTTAATGATAGGTACTGTAATGCAGTGTTCACAGAGTTTTAAGTGTGCACAGCCTTTAATGATAGGTACTGTTATGCATCAGTTGCATCATACATCAGTTTACTAACACTTTGTTCAAAGCCAGACTGATCGTTCTTTCTCATTTTAGAGGACGAGTGTTGGTAGCAATTGCGTTGGCGCTCTGATTACTTCCCGGTTCATCCTGACAGCAGCCCACTGCTTCAGGTTTGAGGACAATCCAAAATCGATCTCGATTACAACGGACATCAAACCACGTACGGATTGAGCTTTCCTTCTGCTTCCTGCTCAGCTGCAACAATGATTGTGCCGTCTGTAGAACTTCATATAGATCAAACCTTTCCTGTCCAACAGCCTACATTTTGAATAGCACTCAAATTTGGGTTTTTATATGATAAAATTATTTTGTTGCTGTTACACATCATACATTATGCCGACCTGTTTTACCCAAAAGATAAAAGCAACATTGTAACATTCACACTCTCTCTTTCTATGCAGATTTGAAGTTGAATGTTAAAACGTTTAAAATGCACCCTGACTATGACATCCAAGCGAAGAAGGATCAGGGAATACCAGAGTTTTACGATTACGATGTCGCTCTCATTCAGCTGGATAAGGATGTGAAGTTCGACGTGAAAATCAGGTGAAAATGAGCTGGATAATCACCATAATAATGCTCAACCAAGCAAGTCTTCAGTGGGCAAAAAGCACTTTGTAAGGTTCACAAGTGTGATCCTGCAAGAGTGCTGTAGGAAAAATCCCATTGACCTGATGAGGAACCGTAGAAATTCCCAGCTGAATTTAAACCAGAATGAGAATCAGAATCAGAACTGGAATCAGAATCAGAACAAGTAAAGGTTTCGATGTTCCTCACGGCTGAGAAAGCTGATACTCGTGTCCTTACGCCCTTCTCTCTTTAAGGCCAATCTGTATTCCCTGCACTAAGGAAACCAGCCAGGCCTTAGGGCTGCCAGATACTGCGACGTGTAAGGAACATGGTGAGGTCGACCAATCTGCTTTTGCCGAGAAGCATGACTGCAATGTGCATTTATGGCTGCACACTTGCTGCCCGCAAACATTTGGATGACAGCTTCTGTTTTATGTTCCCAGAGGACATCCTCTTAAAAAGTAAATTTGAACAGGCAAGCTTTACAGCTGCAACTACTTACATAAAGAAAAATGTCACCATCAAGCTAGGCGCTCAGGTAAGCGTATGCAGCCACTCCGTATCACCCTCACACGGCGAAATATTCAGACGCCATCTTCATCTGCCCTTGTCACCTCATCCCCAACCAACACCACCACAACTTAATGAGAAGAACCTCCTGCTGTCCTTTTCCTGAATCCCCTTGGCATTATTTCCATCCATCCATCTTTCCACCCATTTTCTAAACCTCCTGCACATGGTCGCAGGGGAGACCCACAAAGCCATGGGGTGAACATGCACACTCAGTGATCACAGAGCACAGCTCCGTTAGGGCTTTCAGTTCTCCTTAAACCAGAGATCCCCAAATGGAAACAGCTGAGGACCATCTACGCCTAATGCCTGATCACAGAGGTGACTAGGAGTTATGGACCAGGGGGCCGTTGAAAGTGTTCCCAGTGGTTGATAACTTATGATACATCTCTGTGAACCACTTTCTACTGCCCGACAAAGCCTGAAGGCGGGTCACAGAGCCCTGGTTGGCCTCCTGTACTGAGCTGTCCATGATTAAGCAAACAGTGGCCTTTCATTGCTGTTTTTCTTGCAGAGGGACAGTTGTATTGGAGATGCTATATATGCAGAAAGAATGAATGTGACAAAAGCCAGTGACATTGTGACAGATAACTTCCTGTGCACGGGAGGGATTGAAGGCGAAACGAACAACATCGCATGCAAAGGTGACTTTGGCACGAGTGACTGCTGCATTCCTGAAATATTGCAGCGTTGCATTTCCTCTTTGCTTTGCTGCATCCTGTTGCATTTCACATGTCTGTCTGTCACACAGGTGATTCGGGTGGAGCTTTGTATGTAGAAAGGAAGAAACGTTTGATCCAGGTGAGAATTTATTGACGTAGAATCTACCAAAGAGTTATCATGACCGTGTTGTGCCGTGTTCTGTTTAACCGGTGCGATCGATTTGGATCAGTTGTTGGGTATATCGACCACATTGTGTGAATCTCACACTTCTTTGCTTTTTTAGGTGGGGGTTACAAGCTGGGGTGTCGAAGATTTGTGCAAAACCAGCAATACAATTATTTCTAAAGAGCATTCCCGGGATTTCCACATTAATATGTTTAAAGTTCAGCCATTCATCAGAGAATACCTGGAAAAAAAAGATGAGGATTATGGTCCAACAGCTTTTATCAACTGACCAAGTTTAGTACTTTAATCTTTTGGATCGTGTGGTAAATGTTTTTTATTGAAATGCTATTCATGTGCTTATCAGAATGTAATTAAATTTCCACTTTTTGTGTGTCTAATTTAGTGTATTACAAATGTTCTTCATGTATTTTGTGTCTTTTTTTTAAGTCTCGACTGAAGTTTTAAATAAGTCATTACGAATGAAATCTGGACATTTGTTGAGTGAACTTGTGATAAAGTTTTAATAGGATGTCAGACTATTACTTTTCTCAGAATAGCAGGATCTAATTCTTAAAATGTCAGCCATTATTCCTCTGTTTATCATTGGAAACATTGATTTAGTTGTATGCAGTAGCTGTTCCCGGAAGATTACAAAGAGCAGTCAGGGTAAAAAAAGTCAGAATTGGATGGGCCCTGACATGGTATAACCTCAGTATCTTATCTTAAATGATTAGTGGACTTGAACAATTGACTGGATGAACAAATGACCAGTAGTTTGCTGGTTGAAGAAGTGAAAAATCTCCAGTCATCAGATGTGGCTCTTGGCAGGGGGGGGGGGGACAAACGGGGAGGCCAGTGCCCGCCCCTCCTGTGCCCCCCCAAATATGTATGCTACTTGGGTCTGAAATAAATGTATTATTATTATTATTATTATTATTATAATTATTTACATTTATATAAGCGAGCTAAGATTTTATGAGCTGGGAACAGGCGAAACACAAACTTAAGCGCATTGTGTTTGACAGACTCCAGGTGATCGAGTCGCTTCAGTCGGTGAAAAGATAACGTCAAGTTAGCGACTGAAAAAATAATCAAGCTTGTGGAAGCTAGAGAGTCTAAACAAGAAATCACAGCGAGTTACATATCTGTAAAAACTGTAAAATGCAAAGCATTGCATAAACTTCTCAAAATTGTCTTTTGATTCTTAATGCTGGCAATCAAGTGTAAGTAATACATGGAGGAGATTAAGGTCGAATGCATCTGGCCCCCCTAACAGAACAACTGGCCCCCCAGCTGAAATGGCGTAGAACCACCACTGCCAGTCCCTCCAAAAACAAACCAAAGAAAGAAAGATACATTCACTTGAAAAGTTTAATGTTTATTGAAAGATTTGTTTCACTGCGTTAAATAAGGCCTGTAGAATTTCTGGCACAGTGACCAGTAGTTTATGTAGGACCAGTAGTTCTACATAAATCTTGAATTTATGTAGGACTGCAAAAGATAGCATGCATGGCTGCCACTTGCAAACATTCCAGATCCCAGAATGCCATTGGGATAAACAACAAATAATCAAGAAAGAATGCTGGCTACTCCTAGCCTGTAATCACCCAAATCTCTCTCCTATTTCAATGAAAATATTTTTATTTTATAAATATTTTTATTGCATTGTCACTGCTTAACATTCCTGTTACTGAAGGCAGGTCCTTTAAGCCTTGAAACATTTTATCCAACTATTGCTCGTTACTGTTATTCTTTCGCTTCCTTCTTTATTTTCTCTGATTTTCCTAACAATTTGATGCTGTCCACCAGTCTCTGACCCTGGGAATGACAGGGAACCTGAAAAATATACAGTATATGATTACATAAGCATTGTATGAGTCACATGATTAATCAGTGAATGGTGCATTTGCTACCTGCATTAACGTGACCTGCAATATAACAAGCAGGAAAATTGTATTGTAACGTACCAGAGAGACACCAACTGCCGGAAACAAATACCTTGTCTGTCACACACACACTTGGCCAATAAACCTGATTCTGAAATCCATAGACATTTGTATGGAATTGATGGCACAATGCAGTCAAGCAGGTAACCTTCTCCTGGCATGTGCCAAACCCAAACTGACCCATCAGACTGCCAGACAGCGTGATTCCTCACTCCACAGAACACATTTATACTGCTCCAGAGTCCAGTGTCAGTGTGCTTTACATCACTCCATCCGACGCTTGGCACTGTGCTTGGTGATGTGAGGCTCGCATGCAGCTGCTCAGCCATGGAAGCCCATTCCATGAAGCTCCCACTGTACAGTTTTGGTGCTGGGATTAAAGCCAGAGGAAGTTTGGGACTCTGCAGTTATTGAGTCAAAAAAGCACTGGCGACTTACACACTGTGCGCCTCAATAGGGCTGGGCCATATTATACCTTTCACGGTAATACCGGTTCAATGTTAGGCAATGATAAGAAAATGAAATATCGCGATAGAATATGGGTAAAACGCGCATGCACAGTGCCTTTGGTTTCATACGCTCATACGCACATGGCGGAAAAAGCATGGCGGCGGCGGAGAATGAGAAGGGCGAAAACGGATCGTGGAATGAAACAGATGAACCAGAACTGGTTTGTAACAATGGTGCAACTTCAGTGGCGTGGAACTGGTTTGGTTTTCGCCCGTCAGATACCCAACAAAGCACAATTTTTTGTAGAACATGCAAGCGGGTCGTCGTGGCGAAGGGAGGAAACACCACAAACCTATTTCATCGTTTGAAGCAGAAGCACTTGTTGGAGTACAACAAAGCCGTTAAAACACATGAAGAAGCGTCCGCTTCAACGAGCATGGTGGTGAGACCAAAGAAGCTGACTCAACAAACAATCGGCGTAGCTTTAAATAGCTGCACGCCTTATGACAAAAGTAGCAAACGCTGAGGGAACTAACTAATGCAGTGACGCATCGTTTAGCCAGGGATATGATGCCCATTCAGAGTGTGGAAAGAGAAGGTTTCACAAAGATGCTTAAAAAGTTCGATCCACGCACACAAGCTGCCTACCAAGAAATACTTCTCTAAAGTCACCTTGCCTGCTTTATATGAAGAGGTCCGTACTGAGGTGTTAAATGCATTATCTTCGGTGGAGTTTTTTGCATCCACCACGGACATGTGGTCAAGCCGAACATCAGACCACTACACGAGCCTCACAATAGAATAGAACCTTCCAAAGACTGGAAGCTACAAAACAAGTGCCTTGAAACAAATTTTTTCCCCGAGGACCATACTGGGGAAAATATAGCCAAAGGCCTTTGTTATAGAGTCTGACAGCAGATGGAAGGAAAGACCTTCTGAATCTCTCCTTCCCACATGGTGGATGCAGAAGCCTGCCACTGAAGGAGCTGCTCAGTGCTGTCAGAGTCTCCCTCATGAGGTGGTAGACGTTGTCCAACAGCGATGACAGCTTAGCCACCATTCTCCTGTCCCTCACAACCTCCACCGGGTCCAGAGGGCATCCAAGAACAGAGCTGGGCATCCAAGAACAGAGCTGNTCGCACTCAACAACTGGACCAGACTTTCATGCTTCGGACATCGCCTGCACATTGCAATAGGTAAGTTAATTATAACGTCAGATTAAGCATTTCTTGCATTAGTTTAAATGATGGTAATAATACTGTTTTGTGTTATTAATCTTTAATTGCCTTTAAAAATGAACAGGCAGGCTGGATGTGGGCAGTTGTGCTGCAAGACATATATACTAGGGGTGCACCGATTGCAGTTTTCTGGCCGATCAACGATCACCGATCCTTAGACAACCTTACCTGCCGATCTCGATTTTTTTTTTGCCGATTAACAGTTAACAGCGAGCTACTGACTGGTTGCGTGCTGCTGCTAGCTTTAGCTTTAGCTTGATCGGTGGCTTCAAAAGCTGCATAGTCCGCTTTGTGGTTGTTTCTTAAATGCCGAATAAGGTTTGTAGTATTGAACGCTTTGTTAGTTACCCCTCCACGGCTTATTTCCGCTTGGCATGAATTGTGACAGTTAAACTGTCAGCAAGGAATTTGCATTTGCACTGTTAAATTTTTATATAGCTTTAATGCTCATAAAAACAACTGCTTGTTTAAGTGAAAATAAATCGATGGGGTTTTTTTGCACTAATAAAGTTGTGGAGTTGTAAAGTATTTTGTCTTGCGTCAATCATATCGTCAGTTATATTGTTATCGCAAATTTTCAAATATACTGTATATCATGATAAATATTTTTGGCCATATTGCCTTGTCCTACATATTACATGCCATTGGGGCAAAGCACTAAAGGGTTAATAGCTCTGAGTAACGGTCTGATTTCTATGTAATTTGGTACACGTGCAGACCAGCGATGGGTATGTAAATGATTCGATTAGCAAGGAGCTGGCATGTCTAGTCACCAGACACAGAGGATGTGTCATAGATGCATCGTAGACAGCATCACCAACACTGGATGGGGTTTGGTAAGATAAGATAAGATAAGATAAGATAAGATAAGATAATCCTTTATTAGTCCCACAAGTGGGAAATTTGCATTGTCACGGCAGAAAGTGGACAGTACAAGATAAGAGCATCAAAAATTATAAACAATAGGATAAAAACTATATATGTACAGAATGGAAATATATAAATATAAATATATGCAAAACTCAAAGAAATATTGCACATAAGAAAATACCATGGTGTATTGGATGTGTGTGTTTGTTAGTCTGTGTGTGTGTGGTCAGCTGCAAGGACTTTGTTATAGAGTCTGACAGCGAATGGAAGGAAAGACCTTCTGAATCTCTCCTTCCCACATGGTGGATGCAGAAGCCTGCCACTGAAGGAGCTGCTCAGTGCCGTCAGAGTCTCCCTCATGAGGTGGTAGACGTTGTTCAACAGTGATGACAGCTTAGCCACCATTCTCCTGTCCCTCACAACCTCCACCGGGTCCAGAGGGCATCCAAGAACAGAGCTGGGCATCCAAGAACAGAGCTGGGCATCCAAGAACAGAGCTGGGCATCTTAGAACAGAGCTGACCATTCA